TTACGAGAGAAGTATAATTTATTTTATGGAATTAAAGAACAATTTAACTAATTTTACAAATGGTCCTACGTTCGTTATTAACAATTCTCTAAGAACTAAATAATCTAAGAATTACTTACTCATTATGATTCTCCTCTCATGAAGTAGAAATAAGAGAAAGACGGAGTTTAGTCATCGAAAGAGAGAGAGGGAGAGAGAGAGAGAGAGAGAGAGAGACAGAAAGAGAAAAAGAGAGAGAGAGAGAGCAATAGTATAAGATAAATAATTTATCGAATCCGTGCTGGAGGAATTCGTAAGACACTATGAAAGTACAAAAGTTGTTAGGAACCTTCGGGGTTTCTCTTTTAAAACTTTTCTTTATATGTGTAAGCGAAACAAGTTAGTATATTGTATGTATGTATTATATATACCTTACCACGCGTGACTCCTTTATATACATACTTACATACATACATATATACATACATACATATGTACGTACATACGCTTTATTTCAACAATACGGTGGTGGTTCATATCGAAATAAAAAGAGAAGAATAAAGAACGAACAATTTTTACAACCCCAAGAGAAAGTTCGAGTTAGTTTTATGGGTTTGAGGTGAGTTTGCCAAAGTCCGATCGATTAATAATTAAAATCATCGAAGAAACTTTACCTATACTATATCTTATACTTGTTATATTACTCTACGAAGGACAAGATCATTTAATTATGTATTTTGAATCTTACAATGTTTAATTAAGTTGCTACCTCTGGGTATAAGTTTTTCGATCGTTCGAAACAACACGAAATTTCTTTCTTTTGTGAGATCGGCTAGTTACATAATTAAAGAAGAGTCAAATTCGATTTAGCTATGGTGCAGTAGAAAGAGAGAGAGAGAGAGAGAGAGAGAGAGAGAGAGAGAGAGAGAGGGAGAGAGAGAGAGAGAGAGAGGAGGAAGCGGGAGAGGGGGAAAAGAGGAAGTGAGAAAGTAGAAGTACGTAGGAAAAGTTTACTCGCTCGCTCGCTGAAGATTTCATTAGCAAAATTTCCGAACGCAAATGGAAAGTCTTGCGGGACTTTGATCCACCATACTAAAGTTTCACTCCTCCTAAATTTCTAATCGTTGGATAATGTCGCGAGTGAGTTCGTGTTGTTGTTAAGAATCGATCGAAATTAAAGAGAGAGAGAGAGAGAGAGAGAGAGAGAGAGAGAGAGAGAGAGAGAGAGAGAGAGAGAACTTTTAGACTGTAAACGATTTGAAATATTATCTACTTTCAATAATTAACTTTCAGTTTCTCATATCATAAAGTTCGGTAACTTTGAATGAAATTATTTTATCATCGATTTTCAAATCGATCGACGTGAAAATGATTTCATTTCGTTATTTCGCGAAAAAAATTTATTATCAAAATTTTATTTTCGAAATCATATTTAATACCTTCAATATGAATTCGTTCACATTTTGATTATATATATATTTATATAATCAAAATATCAAAATATATATAATATATATATTTATATATATATAATATATATATATATATCGATGATTTATAACAATACTATTATTATTATTATTATTATTATTATTATTATTATTATTATTATTATTATTATTATTCTTATGAATTAATATCAAGGAAAAAGAAAAAACCGATTAGATCGCGCTCTATTTAAATAAACAATTTATAATAAGAAAAATTTTCTCTGTCCTTCATCATGAAACTAATCGAAAAAAATCAATTGGATCATATTTTTTCACTTGGCAGAAAGAGCTAGAGAGAGAGAGAGAGAGAGAAAAAGAAGGAGGGAAAGAGAGAGAGAGAGAGAGAGAGAGAGAGAGAGAGAGAAATATAGGGAAGGATCGAATTGGTCTCGCCTAATTAAGAAAGAGAAAGAAATACTGGGGATAAACGTTGACAGACCGAGCGCATAACGATGGACAATTAAATTCACGTCTTTACAGAGAGAAAGAGAGAATGAAAAAGAGGAAGAGGAAGAGGAAGAGGAAGAGGAAGAGGAAAAGGACATTGTGCATTATGTATAGGTAAGAAGCTCGTTCGTCGAGATGGCAAAAGCAATGGTTCGTTCGTTCGTTCATTTGAGAGAGAGAGAGAGAGAGAGAGAGAGAGAGAGAGAGAGAGAGATAGAGAAAGAGAGAGACAGAGAGAGAGGACGTACAGCCGAATGAATACGATATTGTTGCTATCCACGGAACGCCCGCAAGTTTTGCTGCTTCTCCCCTCTTACCGTTCTTCTTCTTCTCTACCTCACCCCTTCTCGTCTAAAAGCCGCACATTGGCCGTGGTTTGACTCGACTATGGAATAAATTAGTTGCTCTCGAGCTTTTCCTTATGAAGGAGGAAAAGCAGTTGGTAGGAGGATGAGAAATGGAAAGAGATAGAAATATAGGAAGGAAGGAGAGGAGGAGGAGGAGGAGGAGGAGGAGGAGGAGGAGGAGGAGGAGGAGGAGGATGACGAGGAAGGAAGGAAGGAAGGAAGGAAGGAAGGAGAGAAAGAGGTAGGAGAAAGAGAGGAATAGGAGAAAGACAGAGAGAAAGAAAAAAAAAAGGACGAAGGGTGGAACCGCATGGAATGGTTGGATATCAAGAAACAGGGGTACTTTGGCCCTTAGGCGGTCCTTAATAATAAATTCATATCTCTGCGACTCTTGCTTCCCTTTCTCTCTCTTTTTTCTCTTTCTTTTTCTATCTCTCTCTCTCTCTCTCTCTCTCTCTCTCTCTCTCTCTCTCTCTATCTCTCTCTCTCTGTCTCTCTTTCTCTCTCTTTCTCTGGTCTTCATCGTCTTTCTTCTCGTTCTTACTTCGGTTCTACGAGGCACCCTTCGGGACCACGAAGGGGGATAGTTATCCCTCCTTTCCTCTCGAGCCCTCGCGAGCGAGACTACAAATCTCTTTTTTATGTCGCTTAATAAAAACTCGTCTGACATATCTCTGACTGCTACCACTTAATTTCGGCGGATACGTTCGTCTCTCTCTCTCTCTCTCTTTCTTTCCCTTCGTTTCCATTACCTTTGCACACACTCAAGAAGTATCTTCATCCACTTCGTTTCTTTCATTGTTTTTCCTCACTCGAATTCCGTTCCTATTTCGAACTCTCTTTCGTCGATCTATATTACTTAATAAATAGTAATGTTTCGAAAAAAAAAAAAAAAATATATATATATATATATATACATATATTTTTTTTTCTTTTATTTTTGATTTTTCTTTTTCCTTTCTTTCTGTCTATCTTTCTGTCTTTCTTTCTTTTTCCTTCTTTTTTCTTTTTCTTTTTTCTTCATCAGATTCTTCCACCGGTCAAAATTGCGAGCCTGTTCTTTTTGGAAAAGAAGAAACAGACAGAGAGACAGAGAGAGAGAGAGAGAGAGGGAGGGGAGAGAGAGAAAGAGAGAGAGAGAGAGAGAGAGGATTAAAAAGAGAAAGAAAAAGAAAATAAACGAACAAAGGGCAAAGCAGTCCGTTTACGCTACCCTTTTTACGTCGGGATAGCCTTTTATGCTAAACGGCCGCTTCATTTGAATGTCGCTAATGCGAAAAACCGATGCATGCTAATGGAGAATCCTCTCGTTTCTCTATCTCACCGTCTGTCTCTTTTTCTTTCTCTCTCTCTCTCTCTGTCTTTCTTTCTCTCGTATATAACTACGTTTAGTATGCACGCATGTTCGTACACACGTAGATATAGACTGTCGACGGCGAGCGGCCATTTATTCGTCAACCCTTTATGTCATATGCATACATTAGAATCGTAAAATCATACCTCTATCTAAATCCTCTCTCTCTCTCTCTCTCTCTCTCTCTCTCTCTCTCTCTCTCTCTCGGTCTGTCTCACCCTGTCTCTCTTTCAGATATAATTAAACCAATGAAAGAGATCAATGGAATAGTATATTATTAATCAAACATCAGGCAATAATTCGTACAATGATTTTCGATATTGATAAATGAGTACAATACAAAATCTATTATCTGAATATTTTAATAACTATTATCGTATTTAATCTATAAACGATTATTTGCACTTAAGATTTGAAATAATTCATAAAGTTATATCACGATTTTGCGAGATTCAAAAAGAAAAGGAATATTAGATTTAGTCAATTAGAAACTATCAATTGACGTGTTTCAATTTACGTATCTCGCCGATATTCCGATATATTTTCAATCGTTTTTAATTTACGAAAAGAGAGAGGAAAAGAGAAAAAAAAAAGAGAGAAGAAACAGAAAAAGAGATGGATGAATTTGGAAAAAGAAAACAAAAAAAAGAAAAAGAAAAATCGAACGAGGATGAAAGAGAGTTACCACGTCTGTTAAGAAAAAAAAAAAAAAAAAAGAAAAAGAAAAGAAAAAAAAAAAAGAAAGAAAAACAAAGAAAACAAAATATTACGATGAAAAAGAAAACAAGAAGAAGAAGAAGAAGAAGAAAAAAAATAAAAGAAAGAAAAAAAAGAGAAAGAGAAAAAAGAGAAAGAAAAGCAATGAAGAAAATATAAGTGAAAGAGATGTCGATATTATTTAGAGAAACGTATATTTGACGAAGATATACATACTAAAAGCCGATTAATCGAAGGAACCCGTTTTGGCGAATGGTAACGTTAAGCCCTTTAACTCAGCTAATTAAGGAGGGTAAGAGGAACTAACTTAGCAAGCTCACGTTCAATAAGAAGGATGGAATGAGTAAGGTCTCTCGCGATACTAACGTATCTAACCGTAAACGTATCTACGGACGCGTTTATAAGAAAGTGGTTAAACCGCTCGCGGGCTTGGAAGGGAAATTACGTGACTAGCCAAGATGCCGGGCGTCTCTGTCGACTTCGTAAACAGCCATCATCTCCCTCTCGTCGTAGAGTGCAACTACGTTAGGGATGGCCGCGTGCGGCCTCCGGCCTTAAGTTTACCGTAGATACAGTGCCGAACCAACCGCGACGATCCGTCATTAACTTTGGCAAATTCCGCTCTTTACGGATGATTTAAGAGCGAATAAACAAAATGACACTTAC